GTTCTGTGTCATCGCCGAGCTGTCATCGTTCCCTTATCTGGCAAGACCGATAGCAAGACTTTATCTGATAAAACGTTTCGCTCATGATAGAATCGTTTCCAACACTACGAACGTCTTACCGAATGTTCTTGCCAAGAAATACAATTTGTTGCGACGAAATAAAAAAAAAAAAAAAAAAAAAAAAATAAAGAAGAAATGAAAAACTTCTCTCTCTTTCTTTCTCTCTCTCTCTCTCTCTCTCTCTCTCTTTCACTCTCACTATTTCTTTCTCTATCGTTATTATTGCGTTTTGCGTGTAAACAAATCGATGTGTTCCGATTTGAAATCTATTTATGAAAAAAAAAAAAAATAAATAAATAAATAAATAAATATAAAAGAAAGAAAAAAGATATGATGAGGAATGTACGATAATAATAATAATAATAATAATATATTAATAATAATGATGATAATAATAATATTAATATTATCAATGAATTAATATCATTAAATAATATTAATCAATAATGATAATTATTATTAGGATGATAATAATAAAATAGAAGTCGTTTTACATGCGAAGAGAATTTATTCGCTTTTCTTTTCTTTTTAATCTTTTTTTCTTTTTCTTTTTTTTTTTTTTTTTTTTTTTTTTTTTCCCGTTATCTCGTCCGTTATCATCAGTATGATTCATCCAATATTCGATTATATTGCTTTTCGACTGAACCGGCTCGGTTTCTTTTTCTTCGCTCTTCTTGTTTCCTTTTTCTTTCTTTTTTTTTTCTCTCTCTTTTTTTTTTTTTTTCTTTTTATTTCAATTCGCTCGCATCAATATCGCAGTTTCTTTTCAACAAGGTTAATTTTAATATCAAAGTTCGTCGTAGTACCAAATTACAGAGAAAGAGAAAAAGAAAGAGAGAAAGAGAGAGAGAGAGGGATAGAGATAGAGATAGATAGAGAGATAGAGAGATAGAGAGAGAGAGAGAGAGAGAGAGAGAAGGTCGTATTTTTATCTGAAATTTGTGCTTGTTAGATCGGTGACAGTTAATTACGCATGAAAAATCGGTGTTGGTGGGCCACCGAACCGAATATGAGTATAAATATGTCTATATTTACGATGTCTCATTCGGTTTGTCTCCAAAAGATGGATGCCAGCTGTCATCTCTGAATGAAAAAGCGTGAATTATTACACGTTATCGTAAGTAACGTTATGGCGCTTTCCCTCAAAGATATATCTCTCGTTACGTACATTTCTTCTTTTTTATTTTTCTCTCTTCTCCTTTTTTTCTCTTCTTTCTTCTTTTATTTTTTTTTCTTTCCTTTTTCTTTTTTTTTTTTTTTTATATCGGACAAAACGTTTATTCCGACGATTCTTCGTTTTCTCATTTTCCCTTTCGATTTCGTCGGATATATTTCCCACTTCGTATACACGATAATATTTTAATATAGGAGAGAGAGAGAGAGAGAGAGAGAGAGAGAAAGAGAGAGAATTAAAAAAATGATGAAATTAAAAAAAAGAATTACGTGAAAAAAAATAATTACTCATCGTACTCATCGTTTAGTCATTTCGATATTAAAACGAAATACCGTAGATCGAAGGAAAGAACGAATTTTTTTTTTTTAATTTTTTGTTTTTATTCTCGTCAGATCAGATTTCAGGGGAAATACTTTTCTTCTTTTTTTTTTTTCTTTTTCTTTTTTTTTTGCTTTTCTTTTCTATATTAAAAATCATCGTTTCACATTATCATATTCAAAAATTACGGAAGAAAAAAAAAATATATATATATATATATATAAAATAAAGATCGTGTTTAATATATCCTATTGGATTGAAGTGTACGATGGAGAAAAAGAAAAAAGAAGAAGAAGAAGAAGAAAAAAAAAAGAAAAAGAAAAAAGAAAAAAGAAGGAAAGGAAAAAAAGCATGAAAGATTCGATCGGATATTAGAAAATATTTTTTCCTTTTTCCAGTGTGAAATGCGGAATCTGCGAAATCAATATTCGCCGTGTGTTCTCCCCGTTGCATCCATCGCTCGACGTATAGCAATATATATATATATATATATATATATATATATATATAGATAAATGTATAATACATATCCGTTCTGTATGTATATATTACTTGTATATACACACATACCCATACATACACACACACACACACATATACACCATGTAAAGTGTATCTATCATATGATATTTCACACCGAACGTTAGCGAGAGAACGAGCATCCAACCCTCTCCTTCTCGTTTGTGTTCCCGCGCGAAAATGTCACATCAAAGATATTCAAGCCAACGAGGTTGCTGGCCATTCGCGAAGCTAATACCAAAGTCCTGTCCATAAGTCACTTATGTAAATACAGGAGATGGAAACACGCGTCGTAGCGCGACGATATAATAGCGCATATGTATATATATATATATATATGTAGATATAGATATATATGTACATGTTATATATAACCATGCCGTATACAAATTCAATTGGAAATTTCAACGATGAAATTTCCCGCCCTCGTGTGAAAGTCCAATTTCTCTATGCATTTCTTCCTCGAATTTGACGTATTGTTTATCGTTTTGTACATTTGCTCCCGTCTCGATGTCAATGTTACTCGATAAAATTTTATTCGGACGAATTTCGACCGAAAGGATCGACATTTGTTGGATTTCTTTTTTTATTCTTTTTTCTTTTTTTGTTCTTTTTTTTCCTTTGTTTTTGTTTTTTTTTTGTTTTTTTTTTTGTTTTTTTTTGTTTTTTTTTTTCTTTTTTTTTGGACTACGATGTCTTTCAGAATGCACGTAAAATACATAAATATTCATGTAGAATATATATACATTTTTTAAATCAACATTGAAATGTGAAATTTTTACATCGATTTAAATTAATATTATTTAAATCGAATTTGTAAAACATTTTCATACTTATTTCTTGATAAATTTGTTTGAGAAAAAAGTAAAAAGAAATAAAAAATAAAAAAGAAAGGACAATTCCTTTTTTTCTTTTCTTTTTTTTTTTTTCATCATCACGAGATTAACAATAAATTTAATATTTACGAAATTATTATCGTCTGTCAAATTTATTATCATTTTATATTTAATAAACCTTGAATGCCTAATTGAAACAACTTGTAATATAATATAATATAATATAATGTAATATAATACAATATAATATATTTTATTATATCTGTATAATAAGTATGAAATTTTTTCTCTATATAAAGGAAGAAGGCAATGGCCTAGGGAGAATTTAACAAACGTGCCGGTACCGATTTATTTTTATATATTCATTGTTCACAGTTTTAATAGGCCAATGAAAAAGATTGTGGGTGGACGGATGGGCATTGAAAGGTTTCGCAAGAAAGAGAAAAAAAGGAAAAAAAAAAAGAAAAAAAAAGAAACGAAAAAAAAAAAAAGAAAAGAAAGAAAAACTGTTTAATGAGATCCTCTCTTCTTTGCTTTTACGTTCACCATTGGTAGAGATCTCTGTTGAAAGGGCCAGAAGAAAAGGGCCGATGGGGAAGAAAAAACGAAAGAATCGAGCAAAGCCTCTCACAATTGCCTATCTTTTCCCTCTCACTCTTTCTCTCTCTCTCTCTCTCTCTCTTTTTTTTTCTCTCTTTAATATCCAAGAAGTTCATATGGCATTAAAGTAAAGATTTTTGCGTCTAATGCATTTTTTTTTCGTTTAACTTTTTTTAATGTATTTTTTTTTTTCTTTTTTTTTCTTTTTTATATTATATTATTTATCGTAACATCAAACTTCTCTTTTTCACTCTTTTCTTCTTTTTCGTCTCTTTAATTTTTCCTTCGATAAAGTAAAACGATATATCGTTTTTTTTTTTTTTTTTTTTTTTTTTTTTCTTTTTTCTCATCGTAACATTAAATTTGAAAATTTGAAAAATCTTTATTAATTTGACGGAGAATTCGATTGGGTCTTTGAAAAAATATCGATCGTCAAATATTCTCGATTAGATACTAATTCGTCGATATTTAAATGCATTTGAAATGCAATCGTATATATCGTTATGTACTAATCGAATAGAGAGAATCTAATCGGTCTGTCGGTTTGATGGATTGGAAATATATTCCACCTTTATAAGTTCTTACGATGAAACCAATCGATCTTATCGAAGGTTATATCGTCGATCTGACGTATCCAAGTATTCGATTACGACGACAACAATAACAACAGTAGTAGCGAGTTCTGTGGAGAATGACGATGGCAATTTTTGATTTGAAAATCGATCAAGGTACCTTTTTCGATGGTATTGTCGAGCACAATTTTTGTTCGAATTTTTTTTCCTTCTTCTTCTAATTCTTTTTTTCTTTTTTTTTTTTTTTTCATTCGTTCGTTTCTTATCTTTCTTCTTCTTTCTGATTCTCGATAACGATCGATAAAATGCGTTAACTTAAATGGAAGAATAGGGGTTGAGTTTAGAGAGATAAAGAGAGACAGATAGAAATTACCCTAAATTTTACTAGTGAATGTACGCTGATTTATTGAATTGCAAACGAGCTTTTGTGAATCGTCGTTCATTACGTTGATGCGTGGAATAAACGCTGAACTATGCGAATCGTTTTCTCTTCATCGCGTCGTAGGGGCTGCAACGTTTAGGGTGGATGCCTATAAAATTTTGTTTTGTGTTTCGATTTCTCGTTAATTTGTCGCTTCCTGTTAAACATTCGTTCGATTTAATAGACGATCGTATAGACCTATCTGGATTTATAAGAAATCGCAATGTTTTTTCAAATAAATCTTTTGTGCAGTCGAAATTTGTTATGTTCATTTTTTGTTTTTTGTTTTTTTTTTGTTTTTTTTTAATTAATACAATATAATGAAAATATTAATTAATATAATTATACGAGATATTTTTAAATAATTTTTAAAGTCGATCGGACATTTTATTACTTTTTCCTTTTTTTTTTTTTTTTCTTTTTTTTTTTTTACTTTAAATCAAATTAATGTTATTATTATTACTTAGGATTTGTCGAGGTTTTCTTTTTTATCCTTCTAT